TTTAGTTAAAGTAGACCAAGAATGCTTTTTGGTGGAATAAGTATCCAAAACAAGTATAATCACAACAAGTACAAAAATCACTGCCCTTTTTGAAACGAGCGCGGTAGCGAATTCATTTTATTTCGTTAGGTTCTCATCAGCTGCTTACAACCTAAAATATTTGAAATAGTGATTAGAAATCATGGAATCAAAACACATTAGTTTATTATTAAATGAAGTAACTGAAAATAGAATAATTTTAATAGAGAAAGATATGAATTGAAATTGGTCAGTTATGAATGATACAATTATAAGATTCAGAAAGAGTTGGAATTACGTAATAAATAAAGGGGGGGGTAATGTTACCAGGGCAAAGAAAGATTTATTACTGTTTCTTTTTGTATACAAAGATCTGGTTTTAAACGTCTGATTGCTGTTGCTTCGGCAAATTTCAAAAGGTTTGAATTTGATTGTTTGTTGATCACCATGAAGGACTTCAGTATATCGACTTCGTGCCCTGTGTCAAGGAGATGTCTTGCGATAGCGCTGATAAATGCTTTTAGTCCGTTTGATCTCAAACCCTTCGGAATATGTTCTTTGAATCGGACGTAGGCTCTCCTTTCCGTTCTACCAATGTAATTGCTTTGGCAGATACATGTAAATTTGTATACACAGTTGGTGGTAACATGAAAGGGATACCTGTAGATCTTTGATTGTGTCAAAGAACATTGCATAATAAACTAATGTGTTTTAATTCCATGATTTCTAATCACTATTTCAATGTTCTGGAACCTTCCCTCCCAAACTCTATATATTCGAAACAGAATTTTATGACCTCATTAACTCTAACGAAATCTTTGCTACATCATGTTACATATATTCATCTTTCATCGCCCTCTGATGTATAAGTATGTCAATACCTATAATAACGTTAAATTTCAAATATTTTAGGTTGTAAGCAGCTGATGAGAACCTAACGAAATAAAATGAATTCATATTATTCTGCACCAACCTTTATTCTTGCTCTCTTTAAAATAATAAAGGGAACCATGTGTACGAAATATGAGATCTTATTTAGGAGCCACACCACTACCTATACTGACTCGTTCCACGGGAGTCAGAGATTGCTGATAAGATCTGGAGAATACATTAGGGCCGAGGGTAGGATAATATTTTTAATAGAAACAGCAAGGGATTACATAGAGTGACCACACCTGCATGGCCGTGTCATGTCATATCGATCACTTTCTCCGCATTCATCATTCATGACCTTCCCTGGATATTTAATTTTGGATTTAAATCTTCCCAATTATCGTATGTTTGGCATCCAGGGTCATGTATCATGGTTTATTCTACCGGCAGTAATTAGCTTTAGTTCTGTCTACTAAAAAATACTTCGATTGGTTCCAACATGTACAACTCGGCTTGCCTTGACTAGCCGGTTTCCTAGTTGTTTTTAACAGCATTATGTATGTAGCATCTAGGTGTGGGGCTTTAACTAAGGCTTGGACGATATATGACTTCGTAAAACTCACAGTTTGAAAAATGCACACTGTTTGGTATATTACATAACAATTAGTTACAACTGGCATCTATAGACTTCACTACTAATAGTAATAATAATTTATTCTCAAATAACAGTTTGTTACATGAGGCATGCCAGTTTACAGGCAAGATCAAATTCTTACTAAAGATGCAATTGTCACTGTAGTAAATTACTCAGATGGGTTGATATTCTATAAGATATGAACGTAGATGGCTTTAGTAAGAATCGTGTTGTCAGTATCACAGTTGGCTCGGTTTATGAAAGCTGCGTTACGACGTGCAACTGATGGTCGAAAATAGATCTATGTGAAGTTGGGGGCTTCCAGAAACCGCGACCTTATATCCCTCCGGATTATCTAAGGCTTTCATGATGGTGCAGGGTGAAGTCACCCGTTCCACACATATTTTTGGTGGCATATCCCAAGGGAGATGAAAAAGCGTGCAAGATAAAGGAAGGACAAGAAGTAGAGCAGACAATGTTCTTGAAGGAATAGTTATGGCATGACTACTCAGTCTAATTCTCACTTGTTAAGGAACCTATTAAGTGGGAGCATTCTAATAGATTAAAGAAAATAAGTGTAAACAAGGTATGGCTGGATAAACAACTGACAAATGGACGTGGCTCGGAAAGAAGCTGAAAGTATGGGATTATATGTAGGTATAAAATACAGTGCAGAAAACAGTATTCTGATATACAAATGACTGTCTCACTTTTTTTGTCGAAGCTGTTAGAGCCCTTTTTCTAGATTTTATAGGGTCTTGAGTAGGCTTCGTCTTTAGCGAATTGTCTAGTTTGTCTGTAATAGGATTACTGGGTAGGAAATGAGACCAATTCGACGTTCTAAACACGATTTAATGAGGTATTTTGCATAATAAATGAGTATCAATACCAGTGGATTGTAACATTCAACTAGACCATAAGCGGCCGTAATTATACAAAGTCTTCTGCCCTACAAACATGGGTGAATTGGAGTTATCTCCTCACGACTGTGTTTGCTGGTCAGTAACGTCACTCCCCCTCGTTTTGTGATATTAGTCTGTCTTACGTTTGTGGTAAGTATGAATACTGCTTTAATCAAAGCCCATAATTGGAATACACTGTCTCTACCAGTTCCATGTTACAAGCAAATCAGATGGTTAAGGCACTTGTATTATGGGTTAGACATACACTTAGTATATCACACTGCTATGAAGATAACTAATGGCAAGTTAAAAAAACACGGGTTAGATTATTATTCTAATAGATGTGTCATGTATCCCACTGACTTCCGCTTTATCATCGGGTGGAAGGATGTGATCTTGCATTTGTAGATTACATTTTGATTTTACAAACAATAAACTAATCCTTTTAGTTCCACTTTGAATCGATTGCTTCTAAGGTCAATACCAAACTCTATAAACAGACGGTGTATGAAGTCAATCAAAAATTTCCTCTTTTTCACATATCACTTAAATACGGAAACACTTTACCAGCTTTACGAATCCTTTATTTCATCAGGAAACCGGGTTTTCGCAATGAAATTTCTTCTGAGTGCTAGCTCATACTAACTGAATGACTATCTTTGCTTATGATTTCTGAATTTTATTCTTCGGAAATCATTTAAAAGATTGTGGTTGAGTCTAGGTTGTGTGATAGCACTCTATTATTTCTTCGCTTATCTGCCAGAACTCTAGCCTGATGTTTAGCTCGATGAAGACGTTTTTCAGGCTTGGAGCTGTCTGTGCAATGAACGAGTGCTGAAGAGTTGGTGAGTTTGCTTTGTTGACCCATAGACATGCTTCTTAATTAATCTAAGCAAGTATCAGGAACCGACGAAGTCTTGATTTGGAAAATTTGCGTGCTCAAAGCATGTTTGTTAGTCTAAAAATTCCTGGTTGGGATAAGGAAAAGTTTCCGACTCGATCGTTCCGGATGTGAATAAGAATTGAAGGTTAAGAGGTACGAACAGTGACAGTTGTATTACGATGTTTGAGGCGAAATTCACGGTCAACCACAGGGGAAAAGATAGGTCTTCATGGCTTTAAGGGATCATGTTTGTAAAGCTGATTAAGGGTTGACAACGAGAGTAGAGTCGGTGGTTTATTTCGAGTCACCACGGAAAAACATGCCGAAGCCGAACAGTGATAAATGATGGATTAGGACTTACTCCTTGACTAAGAAAATGGTGGTTCACATCAGCTCTCATTTGGTGTGACCATTTGTTTGGTAAGTTTTTTTTATTGAACAAGGTTTTAACCAGCTAGGTAGTGGATTGTTCCTCCGGTGTCGTCCAGAGAGCGATCTATATTTCTTCTTTATGGAGTAAAGTTTTCAAGCATCCTGGTGAGGTGCCAGTTTTTTCGTTCTAAAGGGGGAAGTGAAAAGCCTTGTGAAAGTGAGAAATACAATATATGTGTCTAATGTCGATTGTACGGTTTGCTGGGATAATTAGCTCAGTATCTTCATAGTGACTTTACCGCTTGATTTCGAGAAGTTAGACCATTCTGACTACTTGGAAAAAGTGAAATCCGAGACAAGAGTTGTACAAGCAAACTTGAGGGAGGACCACTGAATAAATTAATCTAATAGTGTATGAACACTGATGAGCTCCGACAAAAGCATTATGCTGATGTAAACTAACCACTATTGGTATATGTTAAATTTTCAATGACGTTCTATGGCATTAGAAAAGTGATTGTTTGCTTCCAGTAACACAATTCTTTTGGCCACTTCACAATATTGGGATTCATCACATGCATTTAAAACAGGACACGATAGAGCCCTCACGAAAGTTCGTGATACAGATGGAGCCTTTTATAGAAGACTCAGCATTTACCTTAGTTCTGTAGACTCTGTAGGAGGTTAACTTTTGTGCTCTTTAATGATCTACCGTCCTATTTTAAACTAATTGCCCCCTTTATATTCAGAAAACTAAGTCTCTACCTTCAGTTGTAACTGAGATCTACCTCTTACCAACCAAACACAGTTCGATGAATGAACAGCCACCTGGTCCGGTCAAGCCAACCTGAATTTGGACTTCTTTGGTGGCCCGTAGTTCTCGACTCCATTTAGAGCGTATGAATGTTTGTTATCGCCTATTCTCGTATATAATCGTCGACTTAAATTGCGTTAGCCAATAACGGAATTAAATAAGTCAAATAACGAGAATCGACCTGCGCATACATATATTTTGCATATGAAGCGAATGAAACAGAGCAAAGCAAAATGACACGCAGGGCAGATGGCTGGGAATCCAACTCCATTTTAGTCAAGCGTTACTCAATATTTATAATCAGACAAATTAAAGCTACAGACATGTGATTAATGGAATAAGAAGGACACACACATATACGCTCATATAAAAACAGTCAAGACTGATAATCGAATAATTGACAAGGTCAAAATATGACTCAAGTAGAATGAATAGATTAGTTTGTCCACAAACTAGAATAGGATATATAGGCTTAAAATAATAACTGACACTACATTTCTGATACATTACGCGGTATAGTTGGATGCATGCGTTACAACGTGATACTCTTTCTCCTGCTGGCAAGTTGCAATGCTTTTCCGTTTGTCGCGCTTGTACCGTTCTCAGTAGCGATAACGGGAGTAATATACAAGTATCGTCTAAACTGTCTCCTATATGAATGCTGTTCTTCAGCCGTTCACTTCAACAAAACAAGTAGGTTCTCAAAATTTCATTTCCAGGCTTGGAACGATCGCTTTCGGATGAATTGCATGGTCAGCATATCGCAGCTGAGCGTGTGTATCATCATTTAGTCGATCATATTTCTGGTGGTTTGCCACAAAAGCCTCTAGCATTGTCATTTCATGGATACACTGGTGTTGGGAAGAATTTTGTTTCAAATATTATCGCGAATAATGTTTTGAAATTGGGAACAAGGAGTCGGTTTTACCATTTCTATGATGCGACAATACACTTCAAACATGCCTCCCATATTCCGGAGTATAAGGTTGGCTTGCATGTGCTATTAATCACCTAGACCTATTTGATATTTTAATGAATATTAGATACTCTATATCAGCCAGTTATTCCTTATTTTTACGTGGGTGTTCAAATTCAATATCCTTAATAAATTTCCACTTGGCCAATCATGACTTTTTTTTCTTTCGAAATTACCTATCAACGAGAGTGCATCGCTAAAACTTTAAAATACCTAGTACCCTTTATTATTTTCATGAGTTTAGTATCCCCATATATTCTAAAAATCAAAACCTTTACATCACTGGCGTATAACCCCTTTTCCCCTGTTGTATTTATTTATTTGTTTATTCGAACGCGAATGAGTCGGTACAAGGCATCAAATACATATGTGTCAAACAAATCGTTCGATATGTGCGAGGACTATGATACTTCCCGCGTACCCAAGCCGAAGCATATGATTTTCTCAGGGGGCCACTCCCAGAGCCCTTGACCCAACGGTTTAATCCACAAGGCAGTGGGTTAGCCCAAGGAGATACAGTCCCATGATAGCCGGCGACAAACAATAGATTTATATGCCATTTGTTTCTTTAGGATCCTGGGGCCCATGTGCACCATTGGTTAGGAATCAGGGTTTTCCGACTCCTCTAGGTGGATCTTCCCTACTCACCAACCAAGTTAAAGAACCGGACATTTGCTTTTCATCCTCTCAATTTCGTAAACAACAGTAATGCCGCGAAAAGGTAATGAGTAGGACTTCCCTGGTAGTGGTATTCACGTGGCTATGTGAGGGCATTTCTAGAGGGAGAGCTGACTCTCCCTACTCTCGACCGTACCAGGACATTCGAGGTCACTTCTGTCCGTATTCATTCTAAATTCCTGTTTAGTTTGTGATATATCCTCATTGTCTTCGGCGTCGTTTGGCATCATTTCTTGGACATTGACTATTCGGTGACAGGAAACATATCCGTTAGTTATTACCTATGTGTGGAATCCCAGGACAAATAACTACAATCTTTTGATAACGTCACTGTTATGTGCATATATCACCAAGTTCTTTTTATGTTGAATTTGTTTTAACTAGATTTAGAGGGTGAAAAATTCATGGAAGTTTATGGTTTTCGAGTTGTAAAGTATGACTAGCGATCTTCACTTTAATCAAGAAAGTACCTCAAGTTTACACTCAAAAGTTTTTCTGCTTTTATCTATCACTTGAGGCTTAAATTGCTTGTTGTGCCCCAAAAGTCACCCCACCCAAATATTGATTTATATTTTCATTGTTCAGTGTTCTATTTATCGTGTCCCATTATTTTTTGCTAACATAAGATATAGTACACATGTAGACAGTTTTTTCTACAAGAACGGTTGAGTTTGCCATCTTATGTACAGGTCTTATTTACTTATTCAACCCTGAAAGTTGTCGTAAGGGTAGGAGTAATTGAGTTTCAGTAGGCATATAGTTTTATGAGTGTAGAATTTAGTATCACCATTCTGATTAACAAATATTCCGTAATTTTTCACTTTTAGGAACGCCTTTATCGAGATCTACATACAGCTGTTTCCGAGTGCCCTACATCAATATTTGTTTTTGATGAAATGCACAATATGCCTCATGGAATATTGGATATATTGTCACCTTTGCTAGAGGTCCGTGAAACAGTTGAAGGCGTTGATTTTAGAAAGTCAATATTCATCTTTTTGAGGTATGTGAAAATGTATGCGTTGAGACCTTTTCAGTATACCTCTATAATTCTCGATCAATGCTATCGAGGTAAAGTCATATAACATACAACTGCAACGTAGTCTAGATTTAGTAAATATTTTTGTGTAAGATTAGGTTTACGTAAGGTTAATGGTAATTAAATAAGGACATAGAACCAGTTCATGGTGTATTTTACTGTTCACTTAATCAATTTGAGGGATGTAAATTTACTGATTAGGGTTAATTAAATCTCAGGAATCTGTGTTTTATGAATTCCTTGGGTGCACTTAGTATAATATTTAACGTTGTCATTAGGTACTTAGTTTTGTGAAGTTCATATTGAGAAGTCACTTTTCTAATGTAGTCATTCAAATCAGCTTTAGTTCAATCACTCTCTAAAATTTATTGATTCATGTATTATTACATAAGTTATCTCAAATGATGGTAATGTCTAATGTTTTGTACGTGTTTAAATTTGTTTTTCCCCACTAACTTAGTAATGCTGGTGGTAATTATATCAATAGGCGTACGTATGAGCATTTAGTTGGTGGAAAGAAGCGAGAAGATCTGCGTTATACAGATGTCGATCGCTTTTTAGCCAAATCGGCATTTAATAATGAAGGTGAATATTACTTTTGTTTGATTTTCTTTGTTCAAATTAATGGCTCTAGAGTATTTTAATGTTCAGTGCTTAGAAACTTTCAGTAGGAAGCTTGTTAACACTGATCCAGTAATGCTTATTTACATCTTCAAGGTAATGAATAATACTTTAGATATCTATACTATCACAACTCAGAGCTACAGTTACAGTCTAGTTGGTCCGTCATTTAAAGACCATCACTGAAATATTCGTGCCTCTGGAATCCTTTCACCACTGAAAAACACATTGTTCACTAATCATTCTGTATTTTAGTATTTACTGATGATGTCACGTCAAGATATTTATAGCAAAGCATTCAGAATACTAAATTTTCGTTAATCTTTTTAATAGTAAACTTATTGTGACCTGGATGCAATCAAGGATGACCTTTACTACCAGTCAAATGATCTCAAAATTTCCTTTGATAAACGTATTACTAGCTGGAAATTCGGATGGACAGTTCGGGGGGCTGTGCTCGGAGGAGAGTCGTCAACGTGGTCAATGGGGACTCTTTTGTCGGATAACGGTTACCGTTTCCTGCAGCTCTGCACAGACTGCAACCTGTTTCTGGTCAGCACTATCGACACAGTCATCGCCAGTGTATTGCCTGGCGCTCTCTCTACAACTCAAGTCTTTAGTCAGATTGGTCATATCGAGATCAACTAAGGCTAGCGTGGCTGTGCACAAAACTGTGGCTCCTTTTAGAGTTCTTATCTAGGCTGTGATCATGCCCTTGTTCGCGCTAATCTTATCTTCTCAGTGACCAACAAGTTCATCATCCTAAACGAATCCATGCAGCTTCCGTTACAACTAGATATCAAACCAAGCTAAGTTCAAGTCTAACTCCCAACATACTAAAATGTATAAATGAACACTGTTTGCATTTTTATGACGTGAAAATTTCCGATAAAGTCGCTTGAGGCTTCGCGAAGCCTCCCGTTTGTAGGCACTGGGTTTCTCCAGGCTCCTAAAACTCGTTGAGCACGTCGGTATACTCCGACCAACCGTGCGTTTGACGACAAACATAGATTGTTAAGTGAAAATGTTTTGCAAAGTTTGCCTAAGAACCGAGATCTGTGTTAGTCGGAGCGTGCTGACAAGTTGTTGTTGCTACATTGACGTGGTGGTCGGGCTTGCCTATCGTGATGAAGCAACCGAGTTATACTGGCTGGAACAACCGTTCCTCGAGGTCCTACCATGTCAGACAGGTCGGTTGAAGAGCGGTAAGACTAAAAGCAACAAACCCAAGGTCCGAAGGCGAAGTCGTACTGCTGACTGTACAGAGGTGTGACGGCAGTAAGGTGTTTCCTTCAGACAACCAGCATGACAGCGATACTGCCTTCCCACAAGGAGGGGTGGGGTTAGAAAAGGTCGACCCTAAAAATGCACACCTCACCTAATCCCACGGATATCCGTTTCCGGCGGTAAGGTTTCAACAAGTACGGAGCTAACACAAAAATTGCCCATAAAATGGTCGTGTGTGACCGACCTCAAGCAGTTGTCCCTTGGGCACTGCGGTCACGCTCTCAGGTCACTAAGACCACCTCTAATCCAATTTCCCTTTCAGACACCTCCAGAAGAACCCTTCCACGGTGTGAGCAACCGGGAAGCGATAACCGCCCTCATACCTCTAACAGCGCTCAAGACCACTGTATTCATAATCAACCTCCGTCTTCACTTTTTATTACTCCTCCTACATCGACTTTCAACTCTAAACTTCCTTTTTCGGCTTTCTCTTCAAATGTCACCATAGCCAGCGATTCTAGTGCTCAAAACGCTGTCCCAGGTCTACTGAAACCTCGCCTTCAACGTGCGAACCCTATGTCGAATCGGTCAGCAGGCTTCCTTGGCTAAAACCCTAGAATCTCTTTCCATTGATGTATGCTGTGTCTCCGAAACACGCATACAGGATTCCAGTGTGGTCATTCACTTGACCTCGCCTCGGCAAAACGGAGAGCCAACGAGATACACCCTACGTGTATCTGGTGACCCGATGGCCAGTTCTCGTGGACTGGCAGGTGTAGGCATAGCACTAAGCACGAGGGCGGAACAAGCACTGCTAGAGTGGATCCCGGTCAACAGTCGTCTATGTGCTGTTCGGCTAAACGGCTCCGTAAGAACTCGGAAGGATAGGGACACACGTCGTTGCCTTTTCGTCGTTTCTGCCTACGCTCCCACTTACTGCAGCTCAGATGAAGTGAAAGATGAATTTTACAGAAAGCTTTCTGAACTTCTTCAGGAAGCTAAACGGTCAGACATAGTACTCATAGGGGGTGACTTTAATGCTCAGATAGGTAGCTTAAACCAAACAGAAAGGCATTTAGGTGGATATTTTAGCATTCCGGCACAGCGAACAGATAATGGTGACCGTCTGCTGCAACTGTGCTCAGACAATCGCTTATTTTTAGCAAACACAAATTTTAAGCATAAGGAGAGACATCGTCTAACATGGCGACCTCCTACACCAAACCAACGATGGACTCAAATAGACTATATTGCCATCAGTCGTCGTTGGAGAGGGTCGGTAGAAGATTGTCGCTCATTCTGGAGTACCTGCTTGGACTCCGACCACGCCCTAATACGGGCACACATCTGCTTGCGCCTCACTGGACGCAAAAAAGCCACACCAAAAAGACCCATTAGAACTGAGTTGAGTAACGAGAAAACCAAAAATAGGTTCCAAGATCAACTGAGGTCACAATTAGGTAGTTCTGAAGACGAGGCTGACCCAGATGTTGCTTGGAAAGACATACAAGCAGCTGTGGAAACAGCAGTGACATCTATTAGCGAATTAAACCACAGAGTTACAAAGAACCAGTGGATTTCTTTAAAGTCTATCACACTGATGGATTCTCGCAAACTCGTCCCACCAGGTTCCGAACATGATGAAGAGCGACAACAAATCAGATCTAGGTTAAGAAAAAGTCTAAGAAATGACCGTGAGCAGTGGTGGGCAATGAAAGCAAAAGAGATGGAAAAGGCGGCGACTATAGGGAACACAAGACAGCTTTACAGACTAATAAAATAAACTGGAATTAATAAGTCAAGTGTTTGTGAGATTATATCGGAAAAAGACGATACTCATCTGCTCTCAGTCCAGACGTTTAGAACGATGGGCGGAACATTTCAGAGAACAGTTCAACTGGCCTTCAGCTACTCTACAACTACGCTCCATTCCCAGACAGCGTGAATGGAACATTGAAGTAGGTCCCCCAACTCTTGCTGAAGTCCAAAAGTCTATAACTAGTCTGAAACGAGGAAGGGGAGCTGGTCCAGATGAACTGGCTCCAGAAGTCTTTAAGGATGGTGGTCCAATTTTAGCGATTAGGTTGACTAATATTTTAGCTAAGATCTGGGAGTTAGACGTTATCCCATCTAACTGGTCACAATCACTTATCATCCCAATATATAAGAAAGGGTCCAAATCATCCTGTGACAACCACAGAGGGATTAGTTTAACTAATATAATATCTAAAATACTAGCCTCGATAATTATCGGACGCCTAACTAAGACCCGTGGACTGCAAACACGAGAGAACCAAGCTGGCTTCAGACCTGTTCGTGGCTGCATCGACCACATATTCACCATTCGTCAGATTCTAGAACACAGGCATACTTATCGGTGTCCGACAATGGTGGTCTTTCTCGACTTAAAAGCAGCATTTGACTCTGTAGACCGCGAGATTTTGTGGCAGTGTCTGTCATTGAAAGGCGTACCCCAGAAGTACATAAACCTTGTGAAAGCTCTTTACTCGAACACTACTAGTCGAGTCAGTTTATTTATTTATTTATTTGAACACATAAATATTGGTACAAGAGAGCGCCAATATATATGCGCCACACAAAACAATGAGAATTCGAAGAGAAGTAGAAAGAAAAAAAAACTAAGGAACGCAAAAGAAAAAGAGAACAATGACGAAGAGATTGGAGTAAGGTAGTGTGGTAGTAACGACGGAACGAAAAGGTACAATCAGAAGAAATCTTTCAGGTAAAGGAGACACAACCACTTTTTATGAAGAAAGTAAAAGAAGGTTACAGCAGGATCGCCACTGGCTTCTATTCTGAGCCATATCTGATAACGTCTCTAGCCACTGTGTAGCACCATCTCTCGGACCCCAACCAGGGAGTCGTGAAGGACCAACACAAGCCAGTCCTTTGCAGCTTTCTTTCATGCCACGACACCATGTCATGCACTGACCACTTCTCCGCTTCTTCCAACCAGTCCCATGGTCGGCAAATATTGCACGACGTGGAATTCTCTGGGACGACATTCGTAGAACATGTCCAAGCCACCGAAGTCGATGTTTCAAGATGGGAACGTCGATTGCATTATCATCTCTGTGCCCGAACACACGATGCCGGACCTCTGCATTACTGACATGGTGTTGCCACTGAATGTCAGCAATCCTTCGGAGACAGCGATGATCAAACACAGAGAGTCGTCTAACGTCCTCAACTCGGAGAGGCCAGGTTTCACAAGCATAGGGCAAAACTGCTCTCACCGACGCGTTGTAGATCCGGCCTTTTACAGCCAGACTAACATCACGAAGGCACCAAAGGTGGCCCAGATTGGCATAAGCCACTCTGGCTTTCACTATTCGTGCATTGATCTCATCACTCACACCCCCACCAGCACTTATGCAGCTACCCAGATACACGAACTTCTCGACTACTTCTATCTGCTCACCATCCAGGGTGAGTACAGGATTAGAATCCTGCCAGTCTTGTAGGAGTACTTTGCACTTCGAAGGTGCAAAGCACATACCATACCTACGGACACTGATTGCCAACTGATTAAGTGCGGATTGCATGCCTTGGGCATTATCGCACAGTAAGACAATATCGTCCGCATACTCAAGGTCGAGAAGTCTTTCTCCAGGCAACAGATCCACACCACCATTACTTACATTCATCAGAGCTGTTTCCAGAATGTCATCGTTGGCAAAGTTGAAGAGGAATGGTGAGATTGGGCAACCCTGCCT